ATATGAGATATCCAGGTAGACACATCTATAAAGGTAGAAGCTAGGTGGGTGACCGTCAGGAGTTGTGGAGAGTGACCGGTGTGGGATACTGGGGTTTTTTGGGGGGTCAGGGAGGGGGATGAAAATGCCCTGGAATTCTATTCAGGTTCTGGCTGTACGCTTTGTGAATCTGCTCAAAACGCCCAAGTTGTACACCGTGAAAGGATGAATCACGCAGTGTGTGAATTCTGTATTGGTGAGAACGAAATGAAACAAAACTGGATGGGGTGGAGATTGGGAGGCAGCTGTACTCTGCTGAGAGTCGTTTCTGGGAAGCACTCGATAAGGCTGTGCAGGTGACTTGGGGGCACGGCAAGGCTTTCCACTGGAGAGACGTACCGTCCTGGAAACCAACAGGGTCCAGTGTTCTGCCCTGTCCCACAGGGTCACTGTGAGGCAGAATCAACTTGATGAGAGAGAGAGAGAGAGAGAGAGAAAGAGAGAGAGAGGCTCCCAGTGGCATCGTGGTAAGTGCTGGGCTGTTAATCACAATGCTGGTGGTTCACTCTATGGGTAAAAGATAAGGCCATGGGCTCCTGTCAAGACCTAGTTAGTCTTAGAACCCCAAAGGGGCACTTCTATCCTGTCCTCTCTGGTCACCTGTAGTTGGACCTGACCGGCTGGCGGTGAATTGGGTTGGTTTCTGGAGTCGGCTGAGGATGCTCTAGAGAAGGCAGGCCAAGAGGACATCAGGCCTAGAGGAGGCCTGAAAGAGGAGAAGGAGCGGGGCGCACAGACCAGGGAAGACTTCCGGGCACAGAGATAGCAAGTGTGGCCCTCCGCGTTAATGAGGAGCTTGACCTTGTTGTGCGTGAGGAGCAGACAGATCAGCGTGGCTTGCTCACGTGACGTGTTTCCACACGGCCTGGTGTGGCCGGCAGGTGGTCATCGTTCTCCTGCTAGTCTGCAGAGCGAAGCCGTCCCCATCTTTGCTTACCACGGAAGACAGAACAAGGGCTGCAGAAAGTCACACTCCGGATGAGTAAACAAGCACAAACCAGCCCCATTTCCCTTGCCTGTCGGGTCAGCTGACACCGGTCAGGGAAGTCAAGGGATTCACCCAGGATCCCAGGGCTGACCCAGTCAGCACGAGGCTGGTTCATGGCCGCTGAGCCCGGAGTTTCCGCATTGAAATAGAGAAGGCTGCCTTTGGGTGCAGTTGGGCCACGACAGAAAATGACCAGGCTAGGAGTGTGCACAAAGGTGCTTTCCCCCTCCTGCCTGGAAATGTCACAGCGAGGAGACAAGCTGTGTGTGTGTGTGTGTTGTTTGTGAGCGATTGAGGCTGGGAGGGTCTGTCAGAAGCTCACCGGGAAGCTGGTGGGCACAGGTGAGTGTTTCATGAGGATCCAGGTGACCCGTGTGAACCTTTGTGACGTGGCTCCATTGTCCGTCAGCACACATTGTGTCCCTCAAAACAACATGCTGAGAATCCTCATCTCCACTCCTGTGGTCTGCTTGTCAATGGACCATCCTCTGGTGGCTTGTGTGTTACTGTGATGCGTCAGCTTTATCTCTGGTGTTTAAAGTACCAGCAGGGTCACCGGGGTGGATGGGCTTCAGCAGAGCTTTCAGATGAAGAAAGGCCTGGGGGGTTACTCTAGGGAAAAACGCAAAACAAAACCCGGCCTGTGGAAACCCCACAAACAGCAGCGGAACGTTGTGTGATCTGGGGCTAGAAGGGACTCCCTCACGTTGGAAGGCACTCAAAATTCAGCTGAGGTTTGGAGGGGTGCCTTCTCTTTATGGAGCTGGCCTTGGTGACATGGATGGGGTAAAGCTCCCGGGGTCTTCATGAGCTCTCGTGACACGACTCAAAATGAGAAGACCATCCACTAGTCATCAGAACGCAGAGTGTCTGAAGCGAGAGTCTGGGAAAATGGGAAGGTACCGGGAGTGAAACGGGACCCTGGAAGATTAATTTCTTCGGTGTGGTGGAGCCGAAATGGATTGGCATTGGGCATCTTGAATCAGAAGATCGTATGGACCACTATGCCTGGGACGACAGGAGGAAAAGCAATGGCGCCACGGTCATTGTCGGGAGGAACTTCCCACGATGCCTCCTGAAGCACCGAGCTGTTGGGGACGGGCCCATAGCCACACAGCGAAAGAATAGTGACCGCATTGTGGCCCTGCTTCTCTGTTTCTGCCATTGATCACACTGGATAACAAGTTGAACATGGCTTTCAAGAATCTCAAAATGATGTTGTAGATTCAAAAAAGAAGAAGACTGACCATTTCCTAGGACAATTATTCAGATTTCCTCACCACCCAGGACTACAAAGACGGAAGAGTTTTGCGCAGAGGGAACTTGATCCAACATGATAATTACTGGCCCCTGGAAAGTCAGAGTTGGAAACAAAGTTGAGGGGTCAGTACATGGCAGACATGGGCCTTGGTGACAGAAATGACCCTGGAGACCTCTTGATAGGATTTTGCAAGACCAAGGACCCAGTCACGGGACCGACCTTTTTTCAACCACACAAACCGACGCGACACCTGTTGGCCTTGTCATTTAGAACTCACAGGAGTCACGGCCACGGCGTCTGTGGAGAGACGTGATGGAGAAGCTGGACACCATCGGTCAGAATATGGCAGGGGGGGGGAAGGCTGTGGAGCAGCCCCCCAATATCTGACCTGCAAGTTCAAAATGCAGCTGAAGGGAATGAATGCCCGCCATGTCCACGAGAGCCTAAAGTCGACCGTGACTGCATTGTGCCTGAATTTAGAGACGGAATGGATGGATGCACGGAGCCCCAGGACCGAAGGCCAGAGGAGCTGTGGGATGGCATGGGGGCATGCATGTACCACGGTGATGAACAAGGCAGAGTCTGAAGAGACCCTGCAACGTGTTCTTGCACGTCGTCCAGGTGAACAGAGCTGGACCGAAAAGGTTCTCATGAGGACGGAGCCAAGCACGACAATGTAATGTGCAGAGGCCCGGGGTTCGAGAATCTGGGGGGGGAGGGGGGGAAGAAAACGCTGGGCATGTCTCACATTGAAAGATCAAAAAGCCAACCCCACTGCCCTTGAGTGGAACCCGACGCATAATGACCCTACAGGACAGAGGAGAGACTGCTCCTGAGGGTTCCTGAGACTGTAAGTGTCACAGACTATAGATCATGCCGCCTCATTGTGCTCCCTCACAGTGGCTGGTAGATTTGAACCCCGGACCTGGCAGTTCACAACCCAATGCTTAACTCATCGTGCCACCGGGGATCCCAAATGAAAAGAACTGAAGGAAACATTGGAGTCTCGAGTTACGGAACGGTTCCCTGGGTGAAAATCCCCGGAGCCCTCACGGCGCTGTTGGGCTGCGAGGTTGGTAGTTCCAACTGGCTAGCCAGGACGCTGCTGAGAAGCCAGGATGGCGAGACTTGGTCTCAATTACGTGGGGCATGTTAGCAGGAGAGGCCGGTCCCTGACAAAGGACACCGTGCTGGTTCGGTAGCCGGCCAGTGACAGAGAGGATGAGCCTGCGGGAGCTGGGCTGGCACCATGACTGTAACATGACCACAGTGGATCCCACGGCACAGGGCTCTGTTCCGTCCTCTCGGGGCTGCTCTGGGTCAGAGCTGACTCGATAGCACCTGTCATTGATAACAGCAGGGAGGCTTTCCTTCCGGAAGCTCTAGGGGGGAAGCCATGTCCAGCCTCCGGAGACCTGCATCCTCTGGCTTTTGGCCCCTTGTGATTTCCACCTGTGCTTCCATCATTACATCTCCTTCTCTGTCTCTGACCCTTCTGCCTCCTTCTTAAAAGGAGCTCACCTGGATCACCTAGATTCAGCTCCTTGTCTCAAGAGCCTTAAATCAACCACACCTCTAACATCCCCTCTGGAGCACCAGGCATACTCTGGAGATCAAGGCATGGGCAATCTATGAGCATGAAGGAGCCCTGGTGGTATGGTGGGCGGGTTTAGCACTAGGCTGCTACTTGCGAGATCAGCGGTTCAAACCCACCAGCCTCTCTGAGGCAGAAATATGAGGCTGGCTGCTCTCACGACTCACAGCCTTGAAAACAGCTGTTAGGAACTCTCAACTCAAAGCTGACAGCAACCCTACAGGGCAGGGGAGAACTGCCACTGCGGGTTTCTGAGACCATGACTCTTTACGGGAGTGGAAAGTCCCATCTTTCTCACGAGGAGTGGCTGGTGGTTTTGAACAGCCCAGCACATTCCCACTGTGCCACCAGGGCTCATGCAGTCCAATTGGAGTGGGGTATGTGTGCTGCTGACGGCACCACTGAACCCCCCTGTCACATCATCCGTTTGTTGTTGTTGGTTTGCCGCAAACAGGAGACACACACACACACACACACACACACACACATCTCAGCGAGACTCTCGGAGATAGCGAGGCCCACAGCACTCGGCAGGGCAAAGACCCACCCAAAGGTGCAGTCCCCAGTCCACCTCAGCGCATGGGCGCACGCAACAAGTGGGCACCTTCACTTCAGATCTCTTCATTTTCAAGAACTCTGGACCTTTTGGCGAAACCTCTCATTTTTCTAAACACTAGCTTAATTGAAAAAATACCACCGCCGCACAGCCGGGCTGCACCATTGCTCTCCGCTGGCTGACGCTGGGCTCCGGGCTGAGCTCTAATCTGTTTTCAAAAAGCAAGATTCTTTCCAAAGCCGCCTTCGTCGGAAGTTGATTTTAGCGATAGGCGAAACGAATGTGGTAGCTCTCCACTCTTCTTTGACTCTGGGAGCCGAGCACACACACAGGAGGGGAGTTTTGTTTCTTGTCAGTCTCTGCCCTCAAACGTATAGTGACCTTACAGGACAGGACTGACCGGCCCCTGTGGGCGGGACATGGGAGTAGAAATCTCCATCGTTCTGCTGCGGAGCAGCTGGTGGATTGGAACCGCCGACCTTGCGGTTAGTAGCCCGGTGCTTAACCCACCGCACCACCAGGGCTCCTGCTCTGGCGCAGGCAGGTTTCCCACATTTCTTTTTTTAAGATGGAACGCTTACCCGAATGTGCGCGTCATCCTTGCGCAGGGGCCATGCTAATGTTCTCTGCGTCGTTCCAATGTTAGTCTACGTGCTGCCGAAGCGAGCACCCCCACATTTCATTTTATTTTCCTGTTGCTTGTTCTTTGCTTGTCCGTATGTAGAGACCCAGCAGCGGCGTGCGACCAGTCCAATCTCTTGGCACTCTCTCCAGCCTTTGTTGTTTTCTGGCTGTTTGCTCTGTCGCTGTCCGTCTGAGATGCTCGCACCCTCGTTTTGACGTTTGCATCTCCCAGGCAGCTAAGGATCTGAGCACCTCTTCATGCTCGCTGGCTCTTTGGACAGCATGTTTGGTGAACCGTCTTTCGTTCATTCCTTTGCCCGCTTTTTTTTTTTTAAATTTATTTTTTAATCGTTTTATTAGGGGCTCATACAACTCTTATCACAATCCATACATACATCAATTGTGTAAAGTACCTTTGTACACTCATTGCCCTCATAATTCTCAAAACATTTCCTCTCCACTTAAGCCCCTGGTATTAGGTCCTCATTTTCCCCCTCCCTCCCCGCTCCCCGCTCCCTCATGAGCCCTTGATAATTTATAAATTATTATTTTGTCATATCTTGCCCTGTCCGACATCTCCCTTCACCCACTTTTTTGTTGTCCGTCCCCCAGGAAGGAGGTCACATACAGTTTCTTGTAATTGATTCCCTCATAAAATTCTTTTTTTTTTTTTTTTAACATTTTATTAGGGGCTCATACAACTGTTATCCCAATCCATACACACATCAATTGTGTAAAGCGCATTTGTACATCGTTTCTCAAAACATTTTCTCTCCATTTAAAACCTGACATTAGGAGTTGCCGTCTTCTAGTTTAGTCCCTTGTCCATTGTATCCTTGCTAACAGCCCCCCCATCTGTGGGTTCTTCTTTATTTGTTGATGGAATCTTTGGATGCCCATACATGTCTTATTTTCAGTAGGTCCCAGTCATCTACACTTTTTTCTTCTACCCCGCGGGCTCCTTTCGTTAGGTCGGGTAGTGCATTTGTGCCCTGCAGCAAGGCCCTCATGTTTGCCCCTCTTTCCTCCCGGATGACATTTACAGCCATGGCATTTCCAGTCAGGTCTCTGATCTGTCTGGAGTTCATTCATGTGCTTGGGGTGAGGCATGGCCCGGTCTCCTTCTTCTGCACATGGAGATCCAATTGTGCCCGCACCATTTGCCGCACCACTCTCTTCCTCATTTGTTGTTCTCTCCCCACCCCCACCTTGGAGGAAGATCAGTGGTCTGTGGGTGGAGGGATTGATGTCTGGGTTTTCTATTCTGCTCCAATGGTCTATGAACGTACCCTTGCTCCAGAACCAGGCTGCTTTGACTACTGTGACTCTGGAATAGGCGTTGAGGTCAGGTCGGGAGAAGCTTTGTATTTTATTCTACTTAAGAAGTTGTCTGCTTACCCTGAGCTTATTCCCTCTCCATGTACTTAGTCATTCGTTTTTCCCATTTCCCAAAAGAGTGGAGTTGGGATCTGGATTGGAATTGCACTGCATTCCTAGGTTGCTTCAGGTCATATTGACATTTTCACAGTGCTAAGCTTTTCCGTCCATGCACGCGGATCATTCTTCCATTTGTGTAGGTCTCTCTTGGAACGGACGCCATGGGACCTAACGCCACCACGAACCGTGGTTTATTGTCATCGCGTTCTGTACTTTTCCGAGGACGAGCCTCTTGTTTCTCTGGCTAGGTTTACTCTGAAGCACTTCATCTTTAGTGTGATTACTTTAAAATCTTTGAATTCGGAAGACCGAAGAAGAATCCCTGTTTGAATGGTGGTGCTGACGAGGAATACTGAAAGTACACACACCCCTGTCTCGGAAGAAGTGCGGCCAGAGCGCTCCTGAGAGGCAAGGATGGCGAGACTTCATCTCACGTACTTGGACGTGCTGCCAGGAGAGGCCAGTCCCTGGGAAGGACATCATGCTTGGGAAAGCAGAGGGGCAGCTCAAAGAGGACGGCCCTCAGCAAGATGGACAGACACAGTGGCTGCAGCGATGGGCTCCAACACAGGGACACTTGGGAGGGAGGCACGAGACTGGACAGTGCTCCGCTCTGTTGTGCTTAGGGTTGCTATGGGCCAGCACGATGGCAACTATCAACAACAACAACAACATTAAAAAAAATGTTATTGTGGTGGGGGCGCTTACAGCTTTTATCACAATCCATCCATCCATCCATTGTGTCAAGCACATCTGTACATTTGTTGCCACCATCATTTTCAAAACATTTTCTACTTGAGCCCTTGGCATCAGCCCTCATTTCCTGCCCACCCCCACCCCCCACTTCTCCCATGAACTCTTGCTAACTTATAAATTCTTTTTCTTTTTTTCATGTCTTATACCGACTGCTGTCTCCCTTCACCCACTTTTTTGTTGTCCGTCTCCCTGGGAGGGGTTATAGATAGATAATTGTGATCAGTTTCCTCCTTACTCCCCTGCCACCTTCTCTTACCCTCCTGGTATTGCTACTCCCCGTATTGGTCCTGAGGGGTTTCTCTGTCCTGGATTCCCTGTGTTTCGAGCTCTTTTCTGTACCAGTGCACATGTTCTGGTCTAGCCGGATTTGTAAGGTAGAATTGGGTTCCTGATAGTGGGGGCATTAAAGAACTAGAGCAGTGGTTCTCAACCTTCCTAATACCGCAACCCTTTCAGACAGTTCCTCATGTGGTGGTGACGCCCCCCAAACCATAACATTATGTTCGTTGTTACTTCATCACTGCAATTTTGCTACTGTTATGAATTGGGTGACCCCTGTGAAAGGGTTGTTTGACCCTCAAAGGGGTTGCGACCCATAGGTTGAGAACCGCTGAACTAGAGGAAGGTTGTGTGTTTCGTTGGTGCTATACTGCACCCCGACTGGCTTGTCTCTGCCTTGTGGCACCTCTGACAGGGGGTGTTCAATTGACTACTGATGGGCTTTGGGTCTCCACTCTGCCCTCCCCCTCATTCATAAGGATATGATTTTATTTTGTTTTGTTTTTGGTCTTTGATGCCTGACACTTGATCCCATCGACACCTCACGATCACACAGGCTGGTGTGCTTCTTCCATGTGGGCTTTGTTGCTTCTTGGCTAGCTGACTGCTTGTTTATCTTCAAGCCTTTAAGACCCCAGGCGCTATCTCTTTGATAGCTGGGCACCATCAGCTTTCTTCACCACATTAGTTATGTACCCATTTTGTCTTCAGCGATCGTGTCAGGGAAGGTGAGCATCACAGAATGCCAGATTGTTAGAATAAAGTGTTCTTGCATTGAGGGAGGACTTGAGTGAAGGCCCAATGTCCATCTGCTACCTTAACACTAAACCTATAAATATACGCACATAGATCTATTTTCCCATCATCGTATGTAAATATATTACATATATACAGGCCTGTATTTAGACCTCTATAAATTCCCTTTGCCTCCTAGTTCTTTTCTTTCTTTCCTTTCCTCCTGTCCCACTATCATGTTCAGCCTTCATTCGGGTTTTGGTAATTCCTCTTGGCTACATTGCCTTTGATCGAGCCCCTAAGCATCCTATGCCCTCCTGGCCATCGATTTCAGATCACTTGTTCCTCCCTTGTCCCTGGGTTTGAACAACAACATTTTAAGGGGCATTTGTTTTCTTGGTTCGTTTTCAGAGTTCTCCTTAGTACCCAGGAATCTGTTAATCCTGTTTCCGGGCATGTTGCTGAATCTTGTGATTATTCCCAATAGTTTTGGGGTCCACTCTGGGGTTTTCTACAAACAAAACCACAGCTTATGAACACAGCGGGAGCTTCACTTCTTTGCCCATTTAGATTCCCTGGCTTTTTTGTTGCTGTTGTCTCAGGGTTTGGGCTAAGACCGCCAGCAAAAGTTGAATATGTTTGGTGATCTGGGGCCTCCTTGTCTGGAGGAAACAAACAACCCCCCCCCACCCCCTGTCATCGAATCCATTCTGATGAAGAGAGACCCTGTAGCACAGGCTAGAATGAGTTTCTGAGACTATCACTCTTTACGGGAGTACAAAGTCCCATCTTTCTCCCACGGAGCAGCTGCTGGTTTAGAACAGCTGACCTTCGGGTTAGCAGCCCAACATGCAACCACTACGCCACTAGGACTCCTTCTGTTTGGTAGGGTGCCTTCCGTTTTCCCTCTTGAGCGAGATGTTGGCTGTTAGTTTTTCCTAGATGGCTTCTATGGTGTCCAGTGTCAACATTTTTGTTTCTTTTGAAATCTGCCCTTAGAGAATGGATGGCGTGCTGATGGCGCAGCGGGTTAAGCACTGGTCTGCTAGCCACAAGGTCCATGGTTCAAACCCTGCTCTGCAAGAGAGCTGAGGCAGCCTGCTCCTGTAAAGATTTAGTTTGGGGCTCTGGGGGGCAGTTTTCCCCTGTCTTCCAGGATCCCGCACAGACTCAACAGCTGTGGATTTTTACAAAAGGGAATTGATAGTGGAGTATCGAAGAACCCAAGGTGTGTCTTGTGGAAACTATATTCCTTCCTCAGCCATTATTCAATTCAACGGGCTCTTGGAGTGGGGGCTGTCTCCTGTGCAGAGGGCCAGCGCCCTCCCACAGCGTGGGAGGTGACACAGACATGGGTTTGTGTTTTCTAGGCTCCTCTGCCATCTGGGGTCCAAGTAACGTGAGTGGCCCGGAGGGAGGCTCATTGTCTGTGCTGTGTGGTTATGATGCAACGTTCAAGACCTACAACAAATGGTGGTGTCGAGGGGCTGTTTGGCGTCCCTGCCAAATCCTCGTTCAAACCACTGGCTCAGAGCAGGAGGTGAAGAAGGACCGAGTGTCCATCAGGGACAATCATAAAAACCTCACATTCACGGTGACCATGGAGAAGCTGAGGAAAGATGATGCCGATGTTTACTGGTGTGGGATTCAGAGAACAGGAACTGACGATGGGGTCCAGATGACAGTCTCAGTTGACCCAGGTAAGACTGAGTGCCTGTGTGGATGTGTCTTTCCAGGCCTGCTCAGTTCTGGTCCCCGAGGACACTCTTCGGTGACTGAACTGTGGCCAGGCCAGAGGGTGGTCGAGTCCTGGCTGTCAGTGAGCTCCACTTGGGTTTTGGCCCACTGGGTAAGGTTGGGAAGGCTCCCAAGGGTCCCCCAGGGTGGCATGAAGCCTTTCTGGGCACATTTTCCTCTTGGCACAGCTCAAGCTCTTGCCTATAGAGAACAAGGCACAGGTCCAAAGGGATCCTTTCTCACGGGATCTGGAGGCTCCAAGCCGAAGCTTTCTTGGGGCTGCCGTTGTCTAGGTGTGGCTGCACTGTGGAGGTCTGGGCTGGGGCTTCATTGCTCTTCCCACCCCGCATCCCAAATCCAGTCTCAGCGGGAGACGGAGGCTCAGTATCGTTGGGGTGCTGTGGTCTCATTCCAAGGTCTGGACAGGTCCCCATGGTCAAGCAGTTGATCTCTCGGGTGCCTGAGACCCCACTGCCTGCGATCTATGCCTTTGGACCTAATCACACTCTCTTCCTAAATTCTTCTAGAAGGTAAATAAACACTCCAGAGAAAGTCAGCTCAGAGGTCCCTGTGCCTTGGCTGGAGTTGATCTTTGTTGGGCTCTGCTTCTGGTAACCCTTGGATAGGCAGTGGGGGCCCTCAGGACACGCGGGGTACCAGCCAACAGACCTTCAGACACACCTGCCCCTAAGAGGCCTGCTGCCATTGTCAGCATGCAGCGTGTACCACATCTGTCTTGTGGAGCAGTGGACAGCCACATCCAGCTCAGTTACTTGC